AGACAAAATTTTGGAAGTGCTGCAAAAGTCAAAGTTCAACTTAGTTAATTCAGGGAGTCTACGATATTATACTTCACTCTACTGACCTACTCTACTCTACTCTACTCTTCTGTACAATACTCTACGCTACTCTCGACACTGTAGTCTACTCTACGATACTTTACTCTACGACACTCTCCTCTCCTATACTCTCCTCTACTGTAATCTACTCGACGACACTCAACTCTAATCTTCTTGACGATACTGTACTCTACTTTATAACACTCTACGACACTCTACGACACTTGACTCTACTGTAAGACACTTTACTCTACTCTGTTCCACTCTACTCTACTCTACAACACTTCATTCTACTCTACTACACTGTAAGAGACTACTCTACTCGACGTCACTGTACTCTACTCTTGTCTACGACACTCTACGATACTCTACTTACTGTACAACACTGTACTCTACTCCACTTTACGACACTCCACCCTACTCAACGATACTCGACACTCTACTTTACTCTACGACACTCCATAACACTCTACTCTACTCTAGTCTAGTGTACTTTGCGAGACTCTATTCTATGACACTCTCTCTACTATACTCTACTATATGACACTCTACCATACTCTACTCTACGACTCTCTACGACACTGTACAATACTCTACGACACTTTTCTATACTTTATGACACTCTACGACACTCTGTACAACTCTACTCTACTCTACTCTACAACACTTCACTCTACTCTACGACACTCTACTATACTATACTCTACTCTATTGATACTATACGACGTTCTACTCTACTCTACGACAGTCTCCTCTACTCCTATGAATCTCCCTCGGAGGCGGCCATGAGCAGTTGTTGCCGCGGCCACGCGACTTTGCGGTCGCGTGGCGGCCCGTGGAGGGGGGGCGGGGTTTTTGAAAGTTGATTGGGGTTGCGCAAACCCCGCCCCACCTCCTCAAAAAAAAAAAGAAAAAAAAAAGGAAGGGGGGTGATTCCGTGATGCAAGTTGGAAATAATAATAATAATAATAATATTCGTTAGTTTTCTCGTTTTTTCTTTTTTTCGTTGTCAATGATTGATTGATTGATTGATTGATTGATTGATTGATTGATTGATTGGGGAAGGGTCGCCCCCCCCCCCCCCCCCC